GTATTCTTCACAAGAATGATGTGCGAGAGGGCCTTGCTAGGAGACTGGAGTTACTCAGCGGCGCTTTTAGATTTCAGTGGCGCATTTGATACAATAATCAGGCAGACTGCTGTTGACCGTCTGGCTTCGGCAGGTGCACATGTTAGCACTATTCAGCAACTAGTCTCCGAAACCTCTGCTTGCGTGAAGCTGGGAAAGCAGCTCAGTCAGTCATTTCCAACTAATGTTGGAGTGGTGCAGGGGACCCCCTGTCACCCCTTATGTATATTGTCTACGCAGAAGGTGCAATGCAGAGGATCAGAGAAGCCTGCCCAGAACAAGTCAATCTACCTACTAAGTTCACCCTGTATGCAGATGATACAACAGTGCATGACCACAACCGGACAGCAGTTGAAGCAACCGTAGAGAAATGCGAACCCATCTTCGCAGAAGACAACTTAAAACTAAACATCAGCAAAACACAATTTGTAACAGCTACAAAGTCAGATGCCTCCTGGAGGTCGGTCAAACTGTTGGGTTCTCGTCTGGGGTCAGCGGAGGACATTGATGCACGTATCATAGCAGCGAACCGGGCATTTTCCAGTGTATCATGGAAACGCCATACCCAGCAGTCCCGCTTAAGCATGTTCAACTGTCTCATTTTGCCAGTTCTCCTATTATAACTACGCGCTATGGACTCTAACAAAAGCCTTAGAAAGCAAAATTGATGTATGGCACCGCCGTAAACTCAGATAAATATTTGGAATCATCTTTCCCAATAAAATTTCGAATAATGCTCTTTATGCTAAAACTGCTCAATGCCCAATAAGTGCAGTCTGTAGACGCCGGCGCTTATTATGGTTTGGACATGTCATTCGTGAAGGGAAGGACACTGTGTCGTACAAAGCCCTTCACATGGCAATGAATATAACAGATATAAAGAAGCCCAGAGGTCGCCCAGTGACCAGATGGGTAGACAACATTAGGAATGACCTTTTACTTCTCAATATGTCTCTTTTGGAAGCGGAGCAACTTGCCTCAGACAGAACGCACTGGCTCGACGTTGTCGACAGATGCATGACCCTCATTTGATTTTTCATGAGCTATATGCGTGCTGTACTATTATTATTATTATTATTATTATTATTATTTCTCCTTTATTCACTTCTTTCGAAGGCGATAAGCCAGACCCACCGGGAAATATTTCCATGGGTGGGACAGCAAAAAGAAAGTGAAAAAACAAAACCAAAAATAAATAAATAAATAAAACCTAAAAACCAAAGGGACAAGAACTAGTTGAAGGAAGAGGAAGAAAGGAAAGAAACTCAATCCGAACTCCAACATCAAAACAATAATAAAGAATTTGCAGCGACAGGCAAAATACATCAACCAATGAAGGGAGTAGTAACAAAGGAAATATCAGTCTTTATCAGTCGTTATTCAAGTCTCTTAGCTATTGAACATGCAAACGCAGCAGAGGTGCATCTACATGTTAAGGATAGTTCTCAGTATTTTAATCGAACCTTGTATAGCCTCCTGTTGCACAATAGCCAGGTCTCCTCCCTGCACAGTCCGAAGGCATTGAGGAGTCTCCCCCACCAAGCCTCCCAGGGCACCGACAACCACAGGGACCACGTCAACCTGGTTGAGGGACCAAATCCTCGAAATCTCCCGCTTCAAATCATAATATTTCGAGCGCTTTTCAGCCATTTTCTTATTGATGTTGCTCTCACCAGGAACGCTGATGTCTATAATGTAGGCGATGCGCTCCTTGTCATCAACAAGGAGCAGATCGGGCCTGTTTGCTGATAGTTTCAGGTCAGTTGGGACCGAATACTCCCAATAGAGGCGATACTGATTACTCTTGACCAATGCCTTGAGCTGGTGGTCGAATCGTGAAGCACCAGTAGGTAGATCTCGTGCTTTACACATTTCGAAGTGCACATACTTTACTATCCGGTTATGTCGTTCAATGTAACTTATTATTATTATTATTATTATTATTATTATTTTTACAAGAAGTCGGAGGCGGATAATACTTTAATAACGAAGGTACGTGTTGGGTCGTAAGTATCCACGCAACTCCTCGTCGAGGTGTTAACAATGTAACTTAATTTGCTCACTATGTTCTTGTCGCTATTATTATTTCCTTCGAGTTTTGTGTCGTGCTGAACTTGATACTTTTTCCACCTTGTCACGAGTGTTGTTATCTCATATCTTTACGCTATATAAGTTTTAGTCTTTCCAACTTGAGCCATTCCCTGTATAATCCTTGATGAGAAGGGACCGAAAACGTTCGGATACTTTGACAAGTGCCTTATTTTGACTGGATGTGTGTTTGCGTGGATACTTACGACCCAACACGTACCTTCATTATTATTATTATTATTATTATTATTACGAAACAGTGGTTGCGACTTCGGCGATGATTTGTAAGAAAGTGTGGGGAGCAAACCTTTCTTATTATTATTATTATTATGGAGTTGGCTTTATTTCACTCACGTTGTCATGACATGAGGTAAGAACCCCATCACCGGGCCAAAAGAGACCAAGGGTAATGAGAGAAAAAATAGATAAATGGCCAACGCAATGAAGACCGAAGCAAAAAGGATTGTAAAAACCAAAGCAAAAATATTGAAAGCCGACGCAGAAACTGAGAGACGGACAGAAATAAGCAGAACGATGGAGGAGGCCAGGACATATTCGAATACAAAAAGATGGAGGAGGACAGGACATATTCGAATACAAAAAGAGTAATCACAAAAATGGACTACCAGTACAGGAATAGAGATAAAGGAAGAGATGAATGCCGGACATACTCAAATGGCAAGAGAAAAATCAGGTTGTGAGGACCGTCATACTGCACATTCATGGATGTCAAAGCAAATGCGGTATTGGAGGTTTATACGGACTAGCTCTACCCGTAACATGAGGAGCCTAATGCCGAATGCCAAGAACGGACTTGACAATGTTCAGCGTGCCCAGGATAGCACATTGCTGAGCCCTTTCAATGCGCAGAGTGCCTGCCAATGCCAACACAAAGTGTGACAGGGACACACCAGTCAGTCCACCAAGCGCCCCAACAACCAGGGGCACAACGCGGACATCATCCACATGCCAGATGCGCCGCAGCTCTTGGCAAAGGGGAGCGTACTTTGTTATTTTTTCGGCGATTTTTGTGGGAACATTCTGGTCCAATGGAACACTGACATCCATCAGCAGCACCTGTGTGCTGGACCGCAACACCAGGTCTGGACGGTTGTGGCGCACTTGCGTATCTGTTGGGATATTGAACTCCCACAGGAGCTTCATGTCAAGATTCTCGGTGACAGGCACAAGATGATGCTTCAGCGGGTTGCTTCCCGGCCGACCCAGACCATGCCGCTTGCATAGTGCCCAATGCACCAACTTGACGAGCGTGTCATGCCGTTCGATATACAGTGTTTTAGCTAGGGCTGGGCAACAGGCCACAATGTGATCAACTGTTTCTCCGCGAGTGCCGCAAACTCGACAAATGTCCACAACGTCTCCCCGTCCAATGACCGTGACCTGATAGTGCCTGGTCGCAATGGCCTGATCCTGTACAGCCAGCAAGAGTCCCTCTGTCGCAGGTTATTATTATTATTATTATTATTATTATTATTATTATTATTATTATTATTATTATTATTATTATTGACTGATTATTATTATTATTATTATTATTATTATTATTATTATTATTATTAATACAGCAGGTGGCAAGGAGCAACAGAATACCCAATTGTCAGGAACGGAAGCCTGTGTAACTAAAAAAACTCAATAATGTCAGGAACTGAATGCAAATAACCACAACATGGAGGAGCTGCAGACCATGCTATCACTTGCGTAGACTAGATAGATAGTTCCGCAGCTGGACAATGTTTTTACCTGACTCGTCAACCAAGTTACTAATGGGCTCCCATGTTGCCTCGCCAACGGGGTAACCCTTCCAAAGCACCAAGTACTGGCGCTCACCCCGGTCATCTCTGTGCTTCAGGATGGCCTTCACCATATAGCGGGTGTTTCCGTCCAGATCCATAAACGGAGGGGGCACTGGCTGGCGTCTGTTGGGAATGGTGTTCTGTTCGTAGTGTCGCAGAGCAGTGACGTTGAATACAGGATGACAGCGGAAAACGGACGGCAGCTCCAATTCGTAGGCGTTCGAGCCCACCTCCCAAACGACGCGGAACGGCCCAAACCATTTTGGTTGTAGCTTCCTCGATGGCTGTTGTCGGGCCTCCGGTGATATCAGAAAGTCTCTATAGACCAGGGCCAGGTCTCCCACCTTGAGACGGCTAGGACTCCTACCCCTGTCGGCATACAGGGCCTGGCGGGCTTGAGCCGCGACACCCCGGCAACCGTCAGTGTGTCAAGTGGCCGGTCATTGGAAGTCAGTTGGCAGGAAGCATAATCTCCAACTCTCTGAGCACCTTCCTAAGGGTGTGCAGACTATACTGCAGCCACTTCATGTTTCACACAGTTATACACCACTACTACTCAAAAACGGTCTCTCGGCTACGAATTCTTCCAAAAATAATAAAATCCAAATTTTCATGCCAGGCCCATGCCGCCCATCTTCAGGAACTGTAAGGTTAAGGGGCTGTTAGTGGTTAGTAATGGCATGATGAAGTGGACCAGGGAGGGTTTGTACGACTCCCTGGTGTGGAGTGATTATGTACGGTGAAAGAGTATTTAAAATCAATCGCCTCCATTTTTGGACAGCTAGCTGCTTCAATATTGTAAGACCTCATCTGATATCAGCGGACGTCGACAAGACTGGCTGACTCAATCGCAATGAAATCTGGCGCACAACAAATACTTGTTTTAAAATCGGCCCAAAGCATTATTCTTTGTGGACAGCAACGCGTGGTTCTCTCTCACAACTCCTAGCTTCATGCATTCATTTATCACCTGGAGTCTGATACTAATAGAAAGAAATCGATGGTTCCGACCAGCTTAGAAGTATTGTGTGCAATTGCCTTCATTGTCTTGACTTCCAGATGGTTGCGAGGCAACAGGATCGTGAGTATACCACCAGGTACATTTGACTTACCAGGCTTATTATCCCCGTAAGTAAGCACTTTGAAATGTTGTTTTTCAATGTAGTGCATATGCCCACATAGTAATAATAATAATAATAATAATAATAATACGAAGTAGTGGTTGCGACTTCGGCGATGATTTGTAAGAAAGGTTTGCTCCCCACACCGGAGCTCGCGCTATTCCGCCGACTTTACTTGACACTTGACTGACTCACGACTGCCATCCAGAGCACACGAGAAGTCCATCGAACCTTCGACTCGGCAAACCTGCAAGAAAGCACCACTCCCTGCTCAATACACAGTGTTTCGGGGAATTCACCCCTCATCAGTTGAGCTTGAGTAGGCTGAGGAAGATTGTGCCTGAAGAGCACCACTTATATAGTGCTCTCCAGGCACAAACATCACCAGGGATACAAACTTACAGAGACGCTCCGCTTCCAGCGCGACAAACACCTCGTGAACACCAGATAGCAGCGTGAGTCAGTGTCGCTCCTGGACGGTGAGACAGACGTCGAGGACCCTCGGTCATTTGCAACGCTGTCACCTCCAAACCAACTAGTCGCAAGCCTGCGCTGGGCACAACAGTACGAAGTAGTGGTTGCGACTTCGGCGATGATTTGTAAGAAAGGTTTGCTCCCCACACCGGAGCTCGCGCTATTCCGCCGACTTTACTTGACACTTGACTGACTCACGACTGCCATCCAGAGCACACGAGAAGTCCATCGAACCTTCGACTCGGCAAACCTGCAAGAAAGCACCACTCCCTGTTCAATACACAGTGTTTCGGGGAATTCACCCCTCATCAGTTGAGCTTGAGTAGGCTGAGGAAGATTGTGCCTGAAGAGCACCACTTATATAGTGCTCTCCAGGCACAAACATCACCAGGGATACAAACTTACAGAGACGCTCCGCTTCCAGCGCGACAAACACCTCGTGAACACCAGATAGCAGCGTGAGTCAGTGTCGCTCCTGGACGGTGAGACAGACGTCGAGGACCCTCGGTCATTCGCAACGCAGTCACCTCCAAACCAACTAGTCGCAAGCCCGCGCTGGGCACAACAGTACGAAGTAGTGGTTGCGACTTCGGCGATGATTTGTAAGAAAGGTTTGCTCCCCACACCGGAGCTCGCGCTATTCCGCCGACTTTACTTGACACTTGACTGACTCGCGACTGCCATCCAGAGCACACGAGAAGTCCATCGAACCTTCGACTCGGCAAACCTGCAAGAAAGCACCACTCCCTGCTCAATACACAGTGTTTCGGGGAATTCACCCCTCATCAGTTGAGCTTGAGTAGGCTGAGGAAGATTGTGCCTGAAAAGCACCACTTATATAGTGCTCTCCAGGCACAAACATCACCAGGGATACAAACTTACAGAGACGCTCCGCTTCCAGCGCGACAAACACCTCGTGAACACCAGATATTTCAAGTGTCAAGTAAAGTCGGCGGAATAGCGCGAGCTCCGGTGTGGGGAGCAAACCTTTCTTACAAATAATAATAATAATAATAATAATACCACAGTACGCGTAATAATATAATTATGTGGGTATAATTATACGTTCCGCTTCTGTCCTATCTCCTATGGTCAAGTTCCATTATCAAGATAATTATTAACACGGCGCACTGATGACCTGTGACGCCAGATCATGGATTGTTGGCCAGATTTCTCCATGTAGGCTTGTCCAGAGCGATGGCCCTCACATTCCCCAGCTGACTGCTGCGCTTCAAGTCGATGTTCCTCCTCTGTAAGTCGCTTGTGATGCGCGTCGCAATGGATGTCCTTGGACGTCCACGCCCAGCCTTGGCATCTCCTGCAAAATAGCCCGTCAGCGCGATCCATGGCGGCGCGTCACTGTCCATACGGAGAATATGGCCGGTTAGCTGCCATCTTCTCCTGTCCACGATGTCAGATGCCCACATAGCGGATAAGCTTTTATCGAAAAGAAACCAAAAATGGTTTGTGAATGTTGAAAAAGGAAATCTGAAGAACAATTGGCTGCCACCACCAGGATTCAAGATTATATAAGATAGATGGGCAACCTCGCCTTTGGTCAGCAATGCACCAGTAACAAGCTATGGTATATTATTCATCCGAGAGAGATTGCGACTTCGAAACTCTTACCTCCTTTGACACTACACAAGCCGGTAGGGCGTTTTATCGGTTTTTTAGGGTTAGGGTAAGGGTTCGGGGAAGGGAGCATATTCCGTTCACGAATATTTGAAATACATATAAATTTAGTGTTCACGTCTTACTTGAACTTCCTGTAGTTTCAGTCTGCAACTCCGTCGTCTTTCTCCTTTTCTAACTCAGTCTTTCCATTATCTGACAGTGGTGCTCTCACCTCTAGCTAGGTGCAAGCACCCTCCGCCAGACGCGAACTACGTTCCTGTTTCTCAGACTCTCAAATATATTTCTTCTTCGCGTTCACTTTCGTTCTGCAGTTTATTTATTTATTTATTTTCCTTTCTTTCTACCTCATGGTACACGCGCTACATGCGCCACCATCTTTGTTTCCATGGCACCACAGTGCACCTGACCACGCGATCGCTACGCAGCTCAGGCCCGAATGGGTCCGGGTGCGCTGCGTTGCGATCTATTTGGCCTCTCTTGCTTCCGAGCACCGCCGTTTTTGGAGCGTAACTTACTCATTGTGCGTCTCAGTTCTTTTCTCCGCTGTTTGTATCTCCTTGGTTTTTGGTTATTCTTCTTCTTGACTGAAGTGTAGTTGATGAATGAACAATGATGGTTTGTGTTGTAGTAGTGTGAGTGTGTGCATGGTTGGAAAGGTATTCTACATTCTATAATCAAATCGATAAGATTTTGACACAGCTTGCCAAACAGCTGTTCAAGCTCCCGTAGACGGCAGGATTGGTGTTGGCAAAAGGCCAATAATCTGGAGCGGATGTCGTCAACCTTGTCCTGTGGGAGACAAGCCACTTTCTGGACGGAGTCCAGTTCGATGCCCAGGAAGGTGAGACAGGAGGTTGGGCCGACTGTCTTTTCGTCGGCAATGGGAACTCCCAGGTAGCGGAATACGGAGAGGACTACATTCAGACGCTGCGCACATAGCGTTGAGTTTGCAGGGCCACAAAGCCAGAAGTCGTCCAGAAGGTGCAGGAGGTGGGGAACCTGGAACAGTTCACAACTAATCTAGCAAAGTGCGTCGGCAATGCAGTTAAACAAGTAGGGTGCAGACCTCAGCCCGAATTGCAGTACTTTGTCATAGTAGAATAGGCCCTGCCACTGGAAACCCAACAAATAGTATGCAGTGGGTGCGACAGGGACCAGTTGAAATACATTGCGTATGTCGAGCTTCGCCATCAAGGCACCAGTACCTTGACGTTGCAGAAGCTCAATGGCATCGTCCACTGTGACATAATGTAGGGAGAACGAATCCTTGTTTATTCCATCATTGACAGACATACGGTCAGGGTAAGACAGGTGGTGAATGAGGCGGAATTTCCCGTTGTTCTTGGGCACTATGTCGAGCGGAGAGCATACAAATGGGTGGAAAGGCTGGACAGAGAAAGGACCGATCGATTCGTCACGTCGGACCCGGTCAGCAATTTGTTGTACAAACGGAACATGTTCAAAGGCAGTTGGGAGGTTGCCAGAGATGATAGATACAGAAGCACCAGAGTGGCCAATGGGGAACCCGTGCTGCAAGCCATTAAGGATAAAGTCAGAGAGAACACGATTAGAAATACGAGGCAAAAGAGTCAGTAGGCGGGCTATGTACAGAGGCGTGGGGAGACTACTTCGCTGCGAAGGGCTTGTCCGTCTGGCGGGGTCCCCCACGACTGGCGTTGGTGCAGCGGGCGGCGGGATGACCTCGGTCGCCGCAGGTTGAGCAGTGCAAGCGTGCAAGCGTTCACAGGGCTGGTGTTGGCATGGGCGGCCATGGTTGAAGTTGAGGCAGATCTGGCGGGTGCTGCCCGCCCAGGCCAGAAATGGCTGGGTAGGACGGCTGGTGTTGGTGCCAGCTGGAGCATGTGGCGCTGCCAAATACTGTGGGCAACGGTCACGGCTGTGGTGCGTTGTGCAGCGCGGACATGATGGTCGGGGTGCCCAGATCAGGTGCAGGTTCCAGAAGCTTTGGTCGATTGCGTCCCAACGAGCAGAGGTTGTTGCCACCGCTGAACGGAATGCATGGTCATACCCCAGTACAGCTGGGGTCGCAAACTGCTGGTTGGCATTGCAGATAATGTGCTGGTACGTCACCAGCTCCAGTGCTCGGAATGGCACATATTTCAGTGCGCAGGCCATGTAGATTGTGTAGGCTTCCAGCCAGGCAGTAAAGTCGACAATGGAGTCGACAATGGAGCGCTTCTAAGTCACACAAAAATTGAGGGACACACGCCGGCCCTCTCCGTTGGCGGTACTGAGCTCCAAGGGCTTGGTCCCTGCGCCCACATCAATTCTGCGGGAGGAGATCCTCAAGCTCAATATATTCGCCGCGTGTGATCTTTTCAAGCAACTTATGCGGGACCGTGGGAACAATAGAGCTGGACTCACGAGTGTTCGCCATGGGCGCTGCGATCGGAGGCAGCGCGGGTTGCATGAGGGAGATGTCCATGGGGCCGGAGTCGACCTGCGGCGGGTGATGGGTGACGGTGTTGGACGCGGTTTGGACCACATCTGCCACTGAGGGGACCTCCGCCTGATCATGGCCGTCCGGATCCTGGCGAGCTGAAATTCGTTCCTCAAGGCGCTCGACTCGAGCCAGCAGGGGGGGGGGGGGGGTGCAGGGCCGTCGACACAGCCGCAGTAACGGAACGTGGCTTTAGGCCAGTTGTGAATAAGCTGGCCGGCTGGGGAACGGCGAACGGGATATCGTCCTGCTCCGCACGGGCATTGCCGGAACGATCCGCACGGGCATTGCCGGAACGATCGGCCACATGGTCCACAGGGGCTCGATTTGGAGTGTCGGCATACGGGGACGACGAGGCGCGCCTGCGGCTGGAACGCCTGTGCCCGGGAGCCGATTGCTTACGTGCACGGGACATCTCCGTGAGGTATCGTAAACCTTGAGATTGAGGTTGAGAAAGAAATCCACTGCCAATGCGGACACAGCAAGGACTGAAGTCAGGAACAGTGGACTTCGGAGAACAATGAGCGCGTAAGAGTTTGTTGGGATCAGAGCATGCGCCTTCTGTGTTAACATATTTTTTCGCGTGCGCAAAAAATCATTTTGAGTTTCCTTGGAAAATTATCATGTTCAACTGTCTTCGTAATCGTCCAACTGATGTCCCCCTTGCCATGCGAATAATCAGCTTATCTCTCCCATAGCTCCACCTTTCCTTCCATCATGACCAAAAAATGAACTAGACCTCATTTTTAATTATTAGAGCAATATCCACAGCCTGCACAGTTATGGCTGCTAAAGTCCAAGGTCATGACTTCGTAACATGCACAATGTCATGTACGTGGGGAATTTTGCGAGCTACTCGTCACTTTCTCATCTGCCCCGGATACCTGATAAAGGCTGATTCGCTCGCATCGTCTGCTACATGTACTGTACAAGTGTGAGAAAGAACTTTGAACAAGACGGGTTTGAGCATACAACAATGTATTGCCATGATTTCTACCCTGCTTTTCATTGAAAACACCATCTGCCTGACCTCCCAACCCTTTACCATGCAGACCACCAGCACTGATCAGGTGCATGGTACACAATTGTGTAGCCTGCATACTAGAACTGTGATACAATCATGTAGTTATGCTCCTACCTCCGAAAGGATGCCAAATTATGCTGCAAACTTTCAACCACCAAATTATGCCAATAATTATGCCGGCATAATCAAGTCCTGCCTAGGGGCGTTTTTTCCAGCCATGCTGTTATCCACAGTCAATTGGGAACTTGTGGCCAGGCACAATGGGTATATGGATGCGGCTAACGGGGTCTTTCTCGGCACTTGTGCCAGTGGTTGTGAGACTTATCCACTCACCCTCACCATTAGGCGCAGCATCTGCCGCTAGTGTTCGGGAACGGACACGATAATTTACTTTACTTTTACTTTAATCCGCCGGTGCCTAGAAGGAGCAACATGAGATCAGAAAAATCTTAGTTGGCAGTTGAGGTGAAATGCAAAGTGAGTTTTACACTGCAGAGGTAATGGTGACATTGTTTTTGTTGTATTTTCTTGTATCAGGGGTGTCCATATTGACCTGCGAAAGAATCAACTGCGCCTTAATGGGAGTATTTGCAGCATTCAAGAGCATCTTTCTCTCGGATCTGTGGTCGTCGACTCAACTGTTACCGTATACTCAACAAACTGTGAGAACATAAACATGAGAAAACGTATTATTACCGTAGCTATGCAGAAGACGTTACTTTAGTAACGTCTGGCACTAGCCAGGGTCCACACAGCTTTAATTTGGTGTTTGTGTGTTTGTGTGTTTGTGTGTTTGTGTCACGCCTGGAGCTACCGTATCTGTCCCGTATCTGTCCCGTATCTGTGATTTGGTGTTTGTTTGTGTGTGTTTGTGTCACGCCTAGAGCTACCGTATCTGTCCCGTATCTGTGACTACAAAGGTTCTACAGGATTGTACATAACAGCTGGCCACAAACAGCTGGCGACAATACTCGTCGTATTATGTTTACGACTCCCTGATGTAGAGGGAGATTTGCAAAGAAAATTAATAGGGAGACGAGGAGGAAATAAAATTAGAATGGACGCTAGTTGCGGAATAGGTGATAGGATGCGTCAGCAAAAACATACTTTGGAAGAGAGATCCTTTGGAAGAGAGATCCGGTCGTCTCCAAAATAAGCGTGAACGGGCGATTCAGCGCCGGTCACAGGAAACGTCGGAAGAGAGATCCTGTCGACTCCAGAACACCCGTGATCGGCAGAGTCAGCGCCGGTCCCAGGAAACGTCAGGACAGACGCAGAATCGACTCCAAAATAAGCGTGAACGGGCGATTCACCGCCGGTCACAGGAAACGTCGGAAAAGAGATCCCGTCGAGTCCAGAACGCCCGTGATCGGCAGAGTCAGCGCCAGTCACAGGAAACGTCAGGACAGACGTCTTGTCAACTCCAAAATAAGCGTGAACGGGCGATTCAGCGCCGGTCACAGGAAAAGTTGGAAGAGAGATCCCGTCGAGGCCAGAACGCCTGTGATCGGCAGAGTCAGCGCCGGTCACAGGAAACGTCAGGACAGACATCAGGACATTTTTTGCCTACCTCATTGTACATGTTACTAGAATTGATGGAAATGTTTTTTCCGTTGATTGGCTACATCGTTGTATTGCAAAAACGTTTCAATCAGTATGAATATGAGCTAGGCAAAAGTATTGCGGATTGTTATTTTTCTCTCACTTCATCCGCTTTCGGTTTGCTCCTTCTTTTCCTTTTTATCTCCTTATAATCGGATTTTCTGGCCGTTTTACATTAAAAGCATAGCGTAGGGCCCTGAGCTTCCAAGCTCTCTCGTTATTATTACTATTATAGACAACACCTCATGGCACGAGAAGAAAATCAGCCAGTACGGGAGATGTGGGTGTTAACCAACCATGGTGAATAAAAGAAGAAAAGTAATGGTCAAGACGGAGAAGCATGGGAGGGACAGGTGATGGTGAATCTAGTGAGCAGATTTTTAAATGCGTCCAGGTATCGTAGGCTGTGTGCACATGCAGAAATACAAAGGAATTACTATTGTGAATAAACGCCCCGAGACAAAAAATTTCATAAAGCAATAAAAAGAACTAACTCTGCCGTCATCATCATGCATCAACGAAGTCAAATGTTCTCCATAATCGATTTTCATGTCACTATCATCAGTTGAATATCGTGACTGAATTGAACAATGCTTTTAAAAATTGCATTGTCGACGAAAGTAAAATAAGCGCACTAAAAAAAATCATGGTTCGCGTGAGACTCAAAGTACTAAAATTAAAAAAAGTAATAAAAAAAAGTAAATTATCGTGTCCGTTCCCGAAGGGAACTCACAACGGCCGCTAATAACCCGGTAAACCGCACTCAAACCACGAGAACAATTGAACAATATGCTATAATTTGAACGTCTTTTCATGGGATAATCATCAGAAATTTTCATCACAATGATAGTTGGACAACAAAGGAAAGATATTTATGGTACCACAAGGTGAACATGATTAGATCTAAAACTAATAGAAGAAACACTGATATTCTATAGCTAGCACTACTGGAGGCGTTATTACATGAACGGCGAGCATTGTGAAAGCAAGTGTAGATTGGAGAAATGCAGGTGGGAAAGGTACATGTATGTGAGTGTGTATGCAACAGCTCCAGTCAGCAGTGAACATGGTGATGGACTGGGCTGCTACATTTGGTGGCAGGTTTAATGCCGCTAAATCCGTGCGTGTTGTATTCGGCAAACTTGACCCCGCCCAGACTCCTGCCCCAGCACTGCGTGTGGATGCTGCAGACCTATGTCCCTCGACTACCCACCGCCATCTAGGAATCACCCTGGATCCCCGCCTGTCTTTCCAGACCCACATCAATAGTGTCACCTCCAACTTTCGTCGTCGCGTTGTTCTGCTATCCTACATGTCACCCAATCTGACCCCTGCTCTCATTGCCCGCCTCTTCAAAGGATACGTCCGTCCCTCCATTGAGTATGCTTCACCTCTGTGGAATAACAAACTGACCGCAGGAAATATTGACACTTTGGAACGATTGCAAGCACGCGTGGCCAGGCAGTATTTACACCGTCGGAAAGTGCCCATTCCTCATGGCATGGAGAACGTGTTTGAAGCTGCTGAATGGGAGAGTCTTGCGTGGCGGCGGCATATACATTGCCTCAAACTGTTTTACCATTTCACCCGCCAATACCCGGAAACCCTCAATAATCTCAACATAGTTCTATCCAAGAGTGCACGGCGTCCCCACTTTTACCTCCTGCCCACTCACACTGGTCCCTGTTTCCGATCCACTCTACTACATTCCATGATCACCACGTGGAACTCCCTGCCTACCGAGATTAGGATATCTGAAACCCGTGGTGTATTTAGCCGGCACGTTAAGTCCCATTTCCACAGGTATAGATTCCATCCTCGAGGTTTTCTCACTTCCTGATTACCCCCCTTCTTTACCAGTACCCTTTTCGCTTGCTTCTACTCAGACTTCTTATTTAACCTCTTCACATTAATCTTTTTTTATCGTAATATTTTCTTCCTTTTAAGAATTGCACCTTATTGTACACACATTGTACACGTATATTTATTCTCGGAGACCCCCTTGATTTAGGCTTCGGCCTTTGGGGAATCCCTCAAATAATAATAATAATAATAATTTGAAACTCGGATGTTGAGCCATAAATAAATGTGGAAGAGAAAAAGACATATGGATACGAGTTAAGAGTAACTCTCCATCACTGTAACATGATACTATATACAGTCAGAAAGTGCAATAACTAGGCACAAAACTGACAGAGTACTGAAACATTCGACGTCCTGACACCTAGCTTTAACACATCTCCGTAGCGCTAACCGACAGCCTTCCAACTTGGAAGGTTCAAGGTTATGGAAAAGACCAAAGAGGGGAAGGCAAGCGCAACGAAAACGAGCAAAAGCCACAGTCCCAAATTGCACACCTGATGAGCCGTCACGAACCATACGGCGAAACGTACGTCGTGTGAAACAACTTGTTTTGTAGTCAACTAGTCCATCACAATGTCATGCATGAGGAGTACTGTAGGAGTTTGGCTTTCGGCTTGTACAATTCGTTTTCGCAAAGCTTCCCTTTCTTTACTTATCTTTGATATTTTATGACCCACCCAAGTTGGGTGGTGTGCTGCTTTGCTGCTTCGAATTGTAGCTAGACCGCTTTGTCAAATATCGTACTGGTCTCGTCATCGTCCAGTAATAATCGACATTCTTTGTTCCGTTGGGACTGTGGCTTTTGCTCGTTTTCGTTGCGCTTGCCTTCCCCTCTTTGGTCTTTTCCATAACCTTGAACCTTCCAAGTTGGAAGGCTGTCGGTTAGCGCTACGGAGATGTGTTAAAGCTAGGTGTCAGGACGTCGAATGTTTCAGTACTCTGTCAGTTTTGTGCCTAGTTATTGCACTTTCTGACTGTATATAGTATCATGTTACAGTGATGGAGAGTTACTCTTAACTCGTATCCATATGTCTTTTTCTCTTCCACATTTATTTATGGCTCAACATCCGAGTTTCAAATTGCACACCTGATGAGCCGTCACGAACCATACGGCGAAACGTACGTCGTGTGAAACAACTTGTTTTGTAGTCAACTAGTCCATCACAATGTCATGCATGAGGAGTACTGTAGGAGTTTGGCTTTCGGCTTGTACAATTCGTTTTCGCAAAGCTTCCCTTTCTTTACTTATCTTTGATATTTATGACCCACCCAAGTTGGGTGGTGTGCTGCTTTGCTGCTTCGAATTGTAGCTAGACCGCTTTGTCAAATATCGTACTGGTCTCGTCATCGTCCAGTAATAATCGACATTCTTTGTTCCGTTGGGACTGTGGCTTTTGCTCGTTTTCGTTGCGCTTGCCTTCCCCTCTTTGGTCTTTTCCATAACCTTGAACCTTCCAAGTTGGAAGGCTGTCGGTTAGCGCTACGGAGATGTGTTAAAGCTAGGTGTCAGGACGTCGAATGTTTCAGTACTCTGTCAGTTTTGTGCCTAGTTATTGCACTTTCTGACTGTATATAGTATCATGTTACAGTGATGGAGAGTTACTCTTAACTCGTATCCATATGTCTTTTTCTCTTCCACAATAATAATAATAATAATAATAATGTGAGTGTGTATGTGAGTGTTGATATGTTAAGTGAAGTTAAGTGTGGTATGCTATGCTACTATTTTCGTCTACTCTCCGTATTAGAAGCCATGTTTATTCGTGATTGTGATCCAGATTTATACGTGTACCTTTCCCACCTGCATTTCTCCAATCTACACTTGCTTTCACACTGCTCGCTGCTCATGTAATCACGCCTCCAATAGTGCTAGCTTTAGAATATCGGTGTTTCTTGTATTAGTTTTAGATCTAATAATTTGAAACTCGGGTATTGAGCCAATAATAAAAGTAGAAAGGAAAAGGACATATGGAAACGAGTTAAGAGTAACTCTCCACCACCGTAACTAGATACTATATACAGTCAGAAAGTGCAACAACTAGGCACAAAACTGACAGAGTACTGAGACATTCGACGTCCTGACACCTAGCTTCAACACATCTCCGTAGCGCTAACCGACAGCCTTCCAACTTGGAAGGTTCAAGATTATGGAAAGACCAAAGAGGGGAAGGCAAGCGCAACGAATACGAGTACAAGC